CACACAAGTGTGCTACACAACAATCAGATGGCTAGGCAACCAACCACGTCTCGGTCGTTGCCGTAAAAGGGCCAGGTCTTGAAAGGGCATTGGGCGTACCGCCTTTGTCCCCAAAAACCCAGCCCTAAATCCTCCGCAACAATCTGAATCCAAAGCCGAGCCCAGAAACTTAAATCTAAGCCCTGTAAAGCCCTAAACTCTGAGCGTGACATGATCTTTAAGCACTAAAGCCGTAAACTCTATCCCCTATAGACCCCACGAATCGTCGAGTTGACACAAAGACCTTGATCCAACCAGCCAGGCATCTTGTACAAGAACGCGAGGTTTGACATCTTCTCCTCGGGTTCAATTACTTTAGTTGGATGGCTCAGCAGAGCCTTGTCAGATTGGCTGCGGTTTCAGGGTACAGGGTCCTGCCTGGATTTCTATCAGGGTTCGGGGTTTCTATACGGTTAGTTTAGGGTGTAGAGCGCATCTCCTCCTCGGATCGTTTTGAATACTAGGATTAGGACGTTTTAGGGTTCAGTTTTCCTGGGGTGTTTTTGGGTTGCTGTGTAGGCTACCATAACATAACGGTTTACAAGCATCCCGTAAGTGTTGATTGCTTCAGCGCAGTTTAGGGCCACCACTTCAGGGCTTACTATAGGGGCCTAAATAATTACCAATACTATTTTTGGTGGTTCCTCGTTATACTTGTAGTATTATGGGCCCCCAAACCCTATTCAAATTACTAAGGCCCCTACACTATATCCTTATAGATCCCTTATATAACAATAACCCTTGCAATGACCGTTGCAAGGAACCCTCTTCCAATTATTAAGGCCCCTACATTATGTTTTAGTTCCAATGGGTTTTACTGTTTGGGGTTCAGATCCAAGGCTTGTATTTTTGTTTTTGGTTTTTGCTTCTCGGGTTTGGGAATAGGTTTAGGGTTTAGGGGTTCAGGGGTTTAGGGGTTTCGGGTTTAGGGTTTTGGGTTTAGGGATTAGGGTTTGGGAATGTGCCGTGGCTGTCCCCACCAGGGCGCCCCGCACCCTGGGTTCCTGCGATCGACGTTTACTATAGGGGCCTTCATAACTAGAATAAGGGTCTGGGGGTATATTATACTGAAAATAAATCAGTTTCATATACCCCGAAATCTTGTAATAAGGAACCCCACGAAATAGTATCGGTAAGTATCCTAAACCCTAAACCCTAAACCCTAAACCGAAAAAATCTCCTGCAGCCCGAAACACCACCTCTCCGCAAAACGTCATCGAGCAACAACGGGGCCACCCAAGGCCCCGAGCCGTGAGATCTCCAAAACCCTACTAATGGGTTTAGGGTTTATAGGGCTTAGGGTTTAGGGTTTAGGGTTTAGGGTTTAGGGCTTAGGGTTTAGGGCTTAGGGTTTAGGGTTTATGGGCCTTAATAAATAGAATAAGGTTCTGGAATCCCTTAAACTATGATAAGGAGCCCTAAGGAATAATATAGGTAATTATTCAAGCTTCTATATTATCCCCAATAACGCCGCACAGTATAGGGTTTAGGGTTTAAAGGTTTAGGGTTCAGAGTGAACTCCGGCATGCTTGGCCCCACTCCGAAAAACCGAAGGCCCCATCACCCCACGACCCAATTGGTTTAGGGTTTAGGGTTTAGGGTTTATAGGGTTTAGGGTTTAGGGTTTAGGCTGCTAAACCCTGAACCTCCAAACCAAACCATAATCAAATGCGGCCCTAGCTTCGCATTGGCTGATGTACTCATCGGTGACCGTCTCACCGTCGTCGAGTCCGTACCTATAATAAGAAGGGAGTGTAGGCTTCTAGGTGGGTCTCGGATCCCTTTGAGGGAAGCATATGACACGAAAGCCTCTGGGACTCGGATCTTACGTCTAGTTGAGTCTGTCAGGTTGCGGCTTCGGGTTTGAGCACATGGCCTTGCTCTCTCAGGGGTTTAGGGCGTTTAGGGTTTATAGGGTTTAGGATTTTGGGTTTAGGGTTTAAGGTCTACGAAGGACTCCAGAATCGTTCCCGGACCTTCCGAGCTCTGCTTCTTTGGTTATGGAGGGGTACAGACCAAACTTGCGCAGGGATGTCGCGAATAGTGCCTTTTCGCGAATAGTGCCTTTCAAACGGCAGGATGAAGTAGTCGTCGTCACTACAAACATCTCAGCATGATAGCAGCAGCGGTTCTGCAAGTGGTCGTGCACGTGGCAGAAATGCCCCAGCAGTATTACATGGACTCCTGGATGTGGCGGACACAGACAAGTCCCTGATTGTGCAGCTACTTATGTCCTCATGTTATGGGTTCTACCTGCAAGTATAGTCACGTCACAAGAACCCTAAACCCCAAACCTTTAAACCTAAAACCTAAAGCCTACACCTAGAACCCTCGAGGGCCCTCAGGAATACCTCAAGCCTGCAGACATCCTGGCACCCTGGCCACCGCTTCGATATGGCCTGAATTGTTTGAACGCAACAAGGGCATAAGATTACTAATCACTTAGACCTCTGCAGGGCCCTGTTACTGCGCCCTTTTGGGTCCTGCGGAGCCCGGGCTACCCCCTGTATCCTCAAAAACGTGCCAGCGAAGGTGCATGATGTTAGCACGCACAGAGGTGTTGAAGAGGATGGGCTCCTGGTGGGCATGGCAGAATGCCTGGAACCCCGAGAACAGCGGGTCAAGAAGGCCCGAAGCACCTACTACTTGGTGAATGGCTGTATATTAAGACAGAACCGTTAATAGTAACCCTGAAAGGCACCCTAGCACGACTAGAAATTTTCAAGGAAAGGGTACCCATGGCACACCCTTAGAGGCGCAACAGGGAAACACAAGCGTAGAAGGATGCTCGGGAAGTTGCTCCCGCAAACCTGCTTGGCGATGAGTCTGTCGGTCAACATCTGGACGAACCCTGGGTCCTGAACCCTGCCTAGACCCTTAAATTTACTTCGAGTGCCTCAAAAACCTTGCATCCAAAGTCTCTGTCTAGTTTGCTTGGGGTTTAGGATTTAGGATTTCGGGTCAGCACTTTGGGGACTGCGGGGTTTGTTGGACTTGCTCTCTTCTGCGCTACTTTGCATCTGGCATAGGGTCAGCTCCTGGCCGACGAAGCCAATCTGCCGACGCCACCAGCGGATGTTGACAGTGTCTGACGGGCTTCAGTTCCAGCATAACAGGGTTTAGGCTTTAGGGTTTAGCGTAACAGTCTGAATTATTGGAGTATTTTGTAGTCCCTATGATATATGATCTACAAACTACGCAAAAATCCATTCGAGTCATCCAGGCCCCTACATGACACAGCTCCACCAAACGAAAACAAAGCTGTCTGCATGGAGGATTGTTCCGAAACCCTAAACCCTAAACCCTAAACCTCAAACCCTAAACCCTGAAACGAAGCCGCGAGGCTGAGAGCGATCTTATCCTGGCCAATGAAAACCTGGCCCTCCTGGCAAGGTCAGGAAGGGTTTAGTTTAGGGTTTAGGGTTTAGGGTTTTCGGTTTGGGGTGGTCGAAAAAGTATAGGTATCCGGGTTTGTGAAGGACTTTGTGTCAGGATTTGGGCTGGAAACGTTTGGGCTTGAGAGCTTTATCTTGCTTAGGGAAGAGGGGTCTGTGCTTGCATCTTGGAAGTACCCAGTGGCTGTTATCTTTGTGTTTGTCATGGCTCGAGCATCGCTCCTTCAATTAATAGTGAAGCCCTGTGTCCTGAATCCTAAAACAAAACCGAATCATAGAATGTTGCCACACCCGCATCCTGAGGATCATAGAAGCGCTGGATCAGCGACATGACCGTGCTCTTTCCTGGTGCTTGAAGGGTTTACCTATAGTCTCCATTGTAGTTCCTTTTGGGGGACACCTTATAAAATCCTTAATATATATATATATATATATATTTTTGGTTAAACCAAGAAAAGGAACTACAGTGGAGACTATAGGTAGAGGTGTTTATGCGACGAAAAGGCGTGGGGTTTAATGGTTTGTTTGCGGTTTTGCGCTTCTTCGGAGTTACATGTTTTGGAACTCGGGGTGCCCAGGGCCCACGCTTTGGCTTTGGGCGCGGTTGTGTGTACGGCTTTCCGTTTCGAGTTCAGGCCGCAGGGTTTGGGGTCTGAGATCGTCTAGGGGACTCTGGCGACAACGACAAGGAGAGTCTGTGAAATGTTGTCGTGGTTGGTAACCCTAAACCCTATACCCTGAACTCGAAAACAGTAACGGTGGTGGTAGTTGCAGTGTTTGTAGTGTCGGCAACGGCGATGAAATTGATGAAGCACGGAGGCGGCTTTCGTAAGATCTCTCGAAATGTAGCTGCGTGGACTTTGACACTTGTCCTAGTGCTCGCTCTGCTTAGGCCATAATATGGCTTCTAGACTTTATGTGTGCTCGCCCTAGTTCTCCTCCACGCGACGACTGCCCCCTTAGCGATAGTGTTGATGCCATCCATGAGCAAGCCCTGCATCGTAGCAGCATTATCAGCGGGGGTAGTAGCAGTAGGCGTCGCTGTCGCTGTCGCCGTCGTAGCACTGTAAAGCAACCCTCGAAAACCACAACAGACCCCGACAGGCCGTCCTAGACAGCCTTCAGCACCCCTCCTCGCCAGTGTTCTATAAGGGTCTTTAATCAATTAATCGTTAGAAAGCGATTTTGGGACGTTTTGTAGTGCACCTATAATATGGGAACTGTATGGGCGTACCATTGCTAATCCCTAAACCCTAAACCCTAATCCCTCAAACCGTAATCCCTAAACCCTAAACCCCAAACTGAACCCAAAACCCGTTATCTTACCAAGGCGCCACCACCGGAAGGGCCCACCAGACCGACAGATTGCCCGGCGGAGATTTTGAAGGTGATGCCCTTGAGCACCTCAGTAGCTGTGGGAGTTTCCAAGGTTTAAGATTAAGGGCTTCTGGTTTTGGGTTTAAGGGTTAGGGTTTAGGGTTTAAGGTGTCCAGTTTAGTTTAGGGTTTAAGGTTGAGGGTTTGAGGTTTAGGGTTTTTGGGAGTCGGGGGCACAGGGGATAAGGTGCCGGAATAGTGACCAATGTTATTCCCTTCAGGGTTCTGCATGCTGTAATAGCACACTCCCAAACCCTACTCCAAGACTTGCAACTCACTAAAACCTAGGACCTATGATGTCCAAAACTCATTTGTGTTGGGATGCAGCGGTTACGGATGTAGGGCTGGCATGGCCGCAGTCGTAGAATCATCGTCGCCCTAAGCCCTTAGCCCGAAGCCCTAAACCCACCACCGTGGCCTGGAAAATCCCAACCTTCCCCAAAAGGACCAACATCATGAGCTCAGCAGCAGAGTAGTATCACTGCCAGCTTATAGTCCCTGTACGGTTCCCTTTTATGAACGTGCCGTCGTCTTTTGGGTAGAGAACTACCGAGTAGTGAGCAGGGCAGCAACCAATGAAGCACAAACAAAGCTGGGTTAAGGTAAAAACCAATTAAAGCTTCTATGCGCTAAGAACCTAAACTTAAACCCCAAACCCTAAATGCTAGTTCTTTTCGATCTTGTGCTATTGTTAAGTAGAAGCACAGGGGTTCCCACAGCGTCCTCCTCCCAAACCCTAATACGGAGAATTCCAGAAGCATCAAGCGCAGCAAAACACGACAAAGGCGAAAGTCAACGACAACGATGCCCTTACCCATAGGCCCCATAGTAGTTCCTTTTTGGGATTACCTTATAGGATTCTATATATGAGCCCCCAAAAAGACCTACTTTAGGGCCTTCGGGTACACTGCACGCACCACGTCGACGGAACATGGTTTAACCTGTTGACTCCTTGGAACCTTGCCCTGATGTTGAGCCGATTAATGTAGGGGCCTTGTTAGTTAGAATTGGCTTTTGGGGCTTCTTGTAGTATGATCATAATAAGGAGCGCTAAGGAATAACGTCGGTGATTGTGTAGGCTTCTGTCTTACTTCCTGGTGGGCTTTTAGTTCCCGGTTGCCCATGACCAATCAAGAGACAAGGGGCCAAAGAAACCAAACCGGGAAGAGCGGTATCACTTCGGGACCTAATGAGGCTACTGAAGGGCTGCCGAACAACCTTCAACCCGCCTTAACTCCCTCGTCCAAAAAACCAGGGAACGAACACACGTCTCAATGCTCCATCCTAAACCCTTTGCAGCCCTGAACGGCCAACACGACGAGTCTCCAGAACATAGACAGACATCCTGAATCCTGTAAGACGATTGTAGTCCCTTACCTTGTGAAGCTGACATGTATGTCGGTGTGTTGCGTTGCAGAGCCCCCTAACCCTACACCGAAACACCCTAAACCCGTAAACCTAAACCCCAAATCCGGAACCCAAGTCCTAAACCTTAAACCCCAAGTCCGGCAAACCATAAACCCCAAGTCTGGAGCCCAAACCCTAAAGTCCTAAACCCTGTGCCCTAAACCCTAAATCCGGAACGTAAACCGTGTGCCCTAAACCTCACATCCGGAACCTGAAACCTTTGCCCTAAACCCCAAATCCGGAGCCCTAACACCTAAAGCCCTAAACCCTAAACCCTCAAGCTAGTTTTGAATGTTCATTGAACGTCCCCCCCATCCCCCCAGCCCAGACAGCCCAGCCGCCCAGAAGCTGGCAGCCCCGTCCCCAGCCCCGTCCCCAGGTCCCAAAACCAAAAACAAACAGCAAAGGTTTAGGGTTTAGGGTTTAGGGTTTAGGGTTTAGGGTTTAGGGTAAGCCCGAACCCAGCCCAGCCCGTTCCCGAAAAAACAAAAACAAGCCCAGGACCCAGACCCTATATACAATTCGATAAACCCCCAAACCCTAAATCCCTAATCCCTAATCCCTAATCCCTAATCCCTAAACCCTAAACCCTAAACCCTAAATCCCTAATCTCACATCCGGAGAACCTGAACTTCTGGGCGGAAGGGGTAGAAGAACTTCACGTCGCGGAATTCGATCTCGCCAGCCTGCCGAGCATTGGGTTTGGGGCTTTTCGGATTCTGGGGATTACCCTAAACCCTAAACCCTAAACCCTAAATCCTAAACCCTAAACCCTAAACCCTAAACCTTTTAGGGTTTAGGGCCGAGCTCCAAGACCACTTAAAACAAGGCGGCCTTCAAGAATTGGAATAGGATTTTGGGGAGTAGGGTTCCTTCAAAGGGTTCCGTAAAGGGTTCTTGACGGGTTCCTATAAGGGCTTAGGGTTTAGGGTTTAGGGGCCTTAATATATAATTGGAATAGGGGTTGGGGGGTCCATTATACTATAACTATAACGAGAAAAAGGAACTCCCAAAAGAGTATTGGGAATTATTTCGGGCCCTTTTTCTGAGGGGGGGTAGGGTGTAGGGATTTTGTTTTAATAAGGAACCCAAAATGAAAAAAGGGCAAAAGGGTACTACTGGGGAACCTAGGCACGGAGGAAAATTGCCTGCAGCTCCCAAGTTTTGAATCTTATTGGTGGTTTTAGCGTCTATGGTTTGATTTTATTCGGAATCAATATAAAGAGCCCTAATAAAGACCTTGGGTCTCAGTATCAGGCTCCTATATTAGGGTTTATTGTTTTCGGATTTGGGGCTTCGAAGGTCCCCGGCAACCTGAACCCGAGAAGCTGCAAAGAACTCGCAGGTTTGTGGTTTAGGGTTTAGTTCTTAGGCTTTAGGGTTGAGGATTGTAGATGTGTTTAGGGTTTAGGGTTTGTCGTTTAAGGCTTCGGGCTTGAAGATTTGGGTGGAGGCAATAGGATTTGTGCTGAGAGCTGATGCAAGAGGTAAGGCCTGCACCCTGCACCTCTTGGTTTCGGACTTACGCCCTGCCCGAACCTTAAACACTCTAATGGCTCCTTAAACCCTAAACCCTATATGCTAAGCCCTAAGAAAAAAACTCTGAGAAGCTGTAGCCTCCAGCTGCTTCGGAGTTTCACCGGTTGGCTCCAGGCCATCAATGGCTGAGACGCGATCCTCAGTGTACCGGGTTCTGTACTTGGCAGTGCCTGGTCACTAGCAAGCTTCAATCATGCGCCTCCATGAATCGTCAACAACCCTTCGATGCATCTTGATAAAATAAAAGAAGACGACTATTGATCGTCCTAAGGCTGCTGTTGTTACTTGACCAACAGCAGCAGCAGTAGCAAGCACTTTTGCTGTCACTAGTACCGCCACTGCACCGACAACAGCGACGACAACACAGGAGATCAGGGATGAACTGCTCAAAACTCTGACTGGCGTCAATATTGTTGCTGCTTCAACGATCCTTGCAACCGACACAGGGGTATACTATACTATAGTTCTGAAAAGGAACCCCAGAACAGTAGAGGTAACTATTTAGGATCTGTCTGTCTTGACAGTCCTAGAAACTCGCAGCTGAAGACTGAGTCCAAACCACCAGAGAGCCGAACCGCAAAAAAGTAAAAAACATGCAATATTACCCTAACCCTCCAGGTATCTAATATATAGGATCCTAGGGGCTCTAGTACCCTATACAGTAGGTACCTGCGGGGGGTTAGGGTTAAGCAGAGCCCTGAACACAGGTATATGATACAGAAATCTCTGAGGGCTCCCTCATGGTGCAGCCAGGGCTCCATGAGCTGGAACATGTCGTGGCAGGCCACTTTTGCCTTCAAGGGGTTTAGGGTTTAGGGTTTACCGGCCACTTGCCTTCAAGGGGGTTCTCGGGTTTCGTATCAGTTGAGTTTGAGGATAAGCACCAGTTTAGGGTTTTGGGTGTAGTGTAGTCAGTGACGAGTTGCGGTCGAAAGCATCTACAATCCACAAACTTTGGGAATCGGGCTTCAACGTTGGACCCTGGAGCTTCGCCTGAAATGATGCAAACTCTTCAATCACTCCGTGCATTGCAGAGGCAGGCGTCCGGACATAACACCGGGAACAACAACAACAACAACAACA